CTGCTGAGATTACTACTAGCATGTCATAATGGTGGGAGCACTGCAATATACTGCTGAGCACCGGCACTGCATAGCCTGCAGTCAATACTGTTTGCTATCTTTCACGTGAGTCAGATACCAACAGCTGAGCAATAAGCCCTGCAGCTTTCTACTTCCCCCACAACACGCACGTCCCAGATCCCAACCTCTACTATGACTGGCTGCATCACCACTTGGTATGGCAACTGCTCGGCATCCGACCGCAAGGCGCTACAGAGGGTAGTGTGTACGACCCAGTTCATCCCTGGGGCTGGGCTCCCTGTCATCCAGGACCTCAATACCAGGCGGTGTCAGTGGAAGGCCCTAACAATTGTCAAAGACTCTAGCCACCCAAGTCCCACTCTGTTCTTTCTGCTACCGCACGGCAAGCCTGGGACCAAAAGGCTCCTGAACAGTTTCTACCCCAAAGCCATAAGACTGCTGAACAGTTAGTTAAACGGCTACCCGGACTTTCTACTTTTCACCTACATGTACAGTACATAGTACTTCAATCAATTGCCTAACCAAACCGAAATGTACACATTACCTCAATCAATCTAGTTAAATACCTCGTACACCAGTACACTGACTCGATACCGGTACTCCTTGTATATAGCCTGTATATAGTCTCATTATTAATTTATTGTGTTATTTTATTGCGTTACTATTTTTATTTTGATCTATTTGTAAATGTGCTTACTTTTTAACTGCATTGTTGGGAAAGGGCTCGTAAGTAAGCATTTCACCACCACCATGCTTGTTCTTACTGTGGAATGCAGAGTTTGGTTTTCGCCAGGCATTACTGGAACCATGTTGTCCAAAAAGTTATACTTTTGAATCATCTGTCCATAGAACGTTCTTCCAAGAGTCTTGATGATCATCCAGGTGCTTTTTGGCAAGCTTGAGTCAACTTTTTGGACAAGATGGGTCCCATTATGCCTGGCGAAAACCAAATAGAGATACTGGGGTGCTCATTTGCACCCCAGTATCTCTATTTGCACATCTATCATTCCAGTGTTAATACGAAATTGTAACTATTTTGCACTATGGCCTATTTATTGCCTTACCTCCATAATTTATTACATTTGCACACACTGTATATATTTTCTGTTGTATTTTTGACTGTACGTTTTGTTTATCCCATATGTAACTCTGTGTTGTTGTTGTTTTTATCGCACTGCTTTGCTTTATCTTGGCCAGGTCGCAGTTGTAAATGAGAACTTGTTCTCAACTGGCTTACCTGGTTAAATAAAGGTGAAAAAAATAAATAGCACAGGAGGTTGGTGGCACCTTAATTGGGGAGGACGGGCTCGTGGTAATGACTGGAGCGGAATCGGTGGAATGGTTTCCATGTGTTTGATGCCATTCCATTGACTCCGTTCCAGACAATATTATGAGCCGTTCCTCCCCTCAGCTGCCACGACTTCATGCTATCTGTTACTCAGTTGACCCCTGAAACTGCTTTAGCTGGTTTCATGAGAGCGCTATAAAAGAACATTGTAACGATTTAGTGAGGTCAGTAGGATGGCTGTCGAACACCTGAATAAAATAGGGCTGGTGCACAGGAAGTTCATTATTGATTATCAACAGTAGTGTGTGTGAGTCAGAGGAGGCTGGTGGGGGAGCTATAGGCGGATGGGCTCGCTGGAATGGAATTAATGGATTGGTATCAAACATGTCAAACATATAGAAACCACGTGTGACTCCATTCCATTAACTCCATTCCAGCCATTACAATGATCCCATCGTCCCATAGCTCCTCCCACCAGCCTCCACTGGTGTGTTTGTGTGTGTGTACATGTTGATTTACACACAGTAAAGTAACTCAGACCTGTAGTGAAGGGCAGGGCAACCTTGAAGAAGCATTCAATTGCATTCCTCTACTTAGAATAACCTCCCCATCAATACATGCCAGGCTTTGCTTGAATAACAACATGACCTGTCATTTTCTATTTGGATATAGGCTGTACAGTATCCTTCCTTCTGTCTTTCCAAACTCCAGGTAGCCTTAGGGCCTCTTCTGTTCTGAATGCAGGGGAATTTTACATTCAAATCACTACCTGAATTGAATGACTTCAATTCAAATTGACCGCAACCCTGCTGTCCAGGCCTTTGCGTCAGGCCCCCAGTCACCCCAGCCAAACCACCTGGCCACGGGCCACAGCCAGGGGAGGGATGGTAATACTCACACTGTAGGACCTAGGTGTGAACAACGCCAAAGCCCAGACTGAGCCTTGTTCACATCCTGTGGAAGAATGTAACAAATACAAACCTGACCAGCATACACAGACTGAATGAAACAGCAGATGGTTATAAGTCTGTGTGCTCCAGATAGTAGAGGATGATTGGGAATGTAACATGGATAACTCTTTACAGGAAAACATTATACTGTAGGATTTAATGGAAAATGAGATATGTGTGGAAGTATGTTTTCTAGGAATAAAACAGTAATAATAAGAAGGTCCAAATGCAGAAACGTGACCAAAGGTTTTCTCACAATGACAAGCCATTGGAAGAAACCACCCAAGTCTCATGCTTCCCCCTTGTGGCCAACAAAAATCAAAAGAATTACAAAATAGAAAAGACAATCTGCTGGCCTACAGCATTTTCTCCTAAACCAGGGGTCTCAAACTCATTCCATGGAGGGCCCAGTGTCAGCTGGTTTTTGTTTTTTCCTTTCAATCAATTAAGATCTAGACAACTAGGTGAGGAGAGTTCCTTACTAATCAGTGACCGATCCCCGGGACCACCCATACGTAAAAATGTATGCACGCATGACTGTAAGTCGCATGACTGTAAGTCGCTTTGGATACAAGCGTCTGCTAAATGGCTTATTATTATATTAATTAATCAATCAAAGACCAGGGAAGAGCGAAAACCCGCAGACATTCGGACTTCCGTAGAATGAGTTTGACACGTGCCCTAAATGGAGAAATGCCCCAAACAAATCCTGAAAGAGTTTACCTTTAGAATACCACATTAGATTTTCTGACTCAGTGACAGTTAAAGGGACAATCTGGGATTGGAACATCAATTTTTATACTTTTAAATGAATTACATACCCGTTGATTCTTGAAGAATATAAAGTATAAATCACAAGTTTAGTTTATCAGAACCCAAAAATATAAGCTTGTTTGTAAACAAAGTGTATAGCCTCAAAACATGGTTAAAACTGTAATTTTGATATCATGGATGGTCAGTCCTTGCATCTACAGCTCTGTGGTTGCATTTATCCAGCCCCATCCCTCAGCTGTTTACCAAAACAGTGGCGGGGCTGCCATAGTGTTGTTTTCCAATCCTAGATGTTATTCAAGGAGAACATTGAAAGCTATCGGAGAGACATATCCTGAAAGCTTTGACTAAAACAGGTCACTGCAGTGAGATAAACAAGTGAGTCAATTTGTCCATCAAGAGGAAACGCACTAAACAAAAGGTAGTTTGTGGTGGACATGCACTTGCAAGGCAAGTGTTTTAAAGATCATTCAACATTATGCCTATCATGAAACTGCATGGTGATGGTGACATCATGGTTTGAGAATAGCTCATATTTATTTCAAATGCTGAATTATGTGGATAGTGCAGATAGAACAGAAGTGCTAATAACCTTTTTTGTGACCAATAATTATGTAATAACCTTTTGAAACTCAAAGTAAAAGTTCAAACGTAGCATTTGACACCAGCTGATAATGTTCTAGAAAAAGTTATGCTACTGTTCCATTCCAGTCCTTTTAGTCCCTATTAGTGATTCAGATCAATCACATATCCTGTCCAGGTTCATTATCGCTGCACAAAGTACTGTGTGAGTCTTCATCAGTGGAGGCTGCTAGTGGCTGGAACGGACCAAATGGAATGTCATCAAACCATGTGTTTCAAATCAAATCAAATCAAATTTTATTGGTCACATGCGCCGAATACAACAGGTGCAGACATTACAGTGAAATGCTTACTTACAGCCCTTAACCAACAGTGCATTTATTTTAAACAAAAAAAGTAAGAATAAAACAACAACAAAAAAGTGTTGAGAAAAAAAGAGCAGAAGTAAAATAAAGTGACAGTAGGGAGGCTATATATACAGTAAAATAAAGTGACAGTAGGGAGGCTATATATACAGGGGGGTACCGTTGCATAGTCAATGTGCGGGGGCACCGGCTAGTTGAGGTAGTTGAGGTAATATGTACATGTGGGTAGAGTTAAAGTGACTATGCATAAATACTTAACAGAGTAGCAGCAGCGTAAAAAGGATGGGGTGGGGGGGCAGTGCAAATATTCCGGGTAGCCATGATTAGCTGTTCAGGAGTCTTATGGCTTGGGGGTAGAAGCTGTTGAGAAGTCTTTTGGACCTAGACTTGGCACTCCGGTACCGCTTGCCGTGCGGTAGCAGAGAGAACAGTCTATGACTAGGGTGGCTGGAGTCTTTGACAATTTTGAGGGCCTTCCTCTGACACCGCCTGGTATAGAGGTCCTGGATGGCAGGGAGCTTTGCCCCAGTGATGTACTGGGCCGTACGCACTACCCTCTGTAGTGCCTTGCGGTCAGAGGCCAAGCAGTTGCCATACCAGGCGGTGATGCAACCAGTCAGGATGCTCTCGATGGTGCAGCTGTAGAATTTTTTGAGGATCTGAGGACCCATGCCAAATCTTTTTAGTCTCCTGAGGGGGAATAGGCTTTGTCGTGCCCTCTTCACGACTGTCTTGGTGTGTTTGGACCATGATAGTTCGTTGGTGATGTGGACACCAAGGAACTTGAAGCTCTTTGATACCATTCCACCTATTCCGCTCCAGCCATTACCACGAGCCGTCCTCCCCAATGAAGGTGCCACCAACCTCCTGTGGTCTTCATAGCCCAGACCCAAGGGTGTATATTCTGGTTTTCAAAAGCTCAACTGATTAGAAGTCCAACTGCAGTGTTCAATACCCTCTCTCTTGGCCATTATTGTAAAAAAAACACTTTCTTCCCTTCTTTCTGTTTACCTCCCTCCCCTCTCACTCCTCCATCTGTTGCAGGGTGCAGGGGATGAGAATGAGTGTGGCCACACTGTGAGCAATAGCCATGGCTGTCCCTGATCCTTTCAAACTCCTTAGTCCACTGGCCAGGTCTCCTCCACTGGTCTTCTCCATCTCCATCTCCACCCCCACCCCTGCCCTCTTCCTGTAGACCCGGTGCACTGCGAGCGGAAGCTGTCCATCACAAAGCAGTAGACCACGGGGTCCAGGCAGCTGTTGAGACTACTGAGGGTCACCGTGGCGTGGTACACCACCACCTGCTGTGCCCCCCCGCCCCACATCCAGTGCCTGGTGGAAAGCTGTAAAGCAGATGACGAACACCACCAACACTGCCACCAGGAGCCTAACCGCTATGGCCTGCTGGCCCCGGCTCTGGGGCATCAGCCTGGGGACGGCCAGCGCGCACACCACCCTGAGGGGAAAGGTCACAATGACCACAAGGAGGAGCAGGAACTCCAGGCAGTGAGGCGGCAGCACGACATGGCCTTGATATCCAGCGCCGTGGTCTGGAAGTAATAGGTGGCAACCCCAGGGATCCTCCAGTGGCGCCTGGCCCCGGCTGACACCACGGCAATGTAGCGGTCTACGCAGATACTGGTGAGGATGAGGATGCTGCAGTACATGTTGACGAAGTAGCTGAAGGTGTGGACGTAGGAGCAGGCCAAACACTTTCCACCGCTGTGGTAGAGGGTGATGCGGGCCGGGAGCGAGAGCCACGGTCAGCCACGGCCAGGTTGATTGTATAGACCACAGGGGCAGAAGAGGTCCGGGAGGGCAGGCAGAAGAAGTAGAGGGCCAGACTGTTAAGGACCACATCCAGCACGAACATCAGGGTGTTGGCCACCATCAGGGTCACCCACAGGCCATAGATCTCCTGGTACAGGCCCTCATTCAGGTTGGCTAGTTTCTTCAGGTAGGGCACCCCCCACTGGGCGTTGGATGTACTGTTCATGTCTTAAGTGTGTTGCATTGACCAATGGTAAGGCTGTGAGAATCTCCATTGCTCAGTAGCTAGGAATGTTGCGCAGCTTCTGTAAAACAGTGATGATGACGGGTCACGTAATGTTATAGAGCAAACCACGTTTCTTGGTGAGTATGCATTGTTGGTTAAGGGCTTGTAAGTAAACATTTCACGGTAAGGTATTTTTCGTTATATACATTTTTTATTTTAGGGGGTAGATCAGCTTTAATATTGCAGATAGATTGTAACTTCCATCAATGTAATTATCTGTATCACTTCCAATCCCCCATGTTTTTTTTCTCTCGCAAATATATATATACATACATATAATATATACACTGAGTATGAAAATGTATGCACTCACTAACTGTAAGTCGCTCTGGATAAGAGCGTCTGCTAAATGACGTAAATGTAAATATAAATACATACATACAGTGGGGAAAAAAAGTATTTAGTCAGCCACCAATTGTGCAAGTTCTCCCACTTAAAAAGATGAGAGAGGCCTGTAATTTTCATCATAGGCACGCGTCAACTATGACAGACAAAATGAGAAAAGAAAATCCAGAAAATCACATTGTAGGATTTTTAATGAATTTATTTGCAAATTATGGTGGAAAATAAGTATTTGGTCAATAACAAAAGTTTCTCAATACTTTGTTATATACCCTTTGTTGGCAATGACACAGGTCAAACGTTTTCTGTAAGTCTTCACAAGGTTTTCACACACTGTTGCTGGTATTTTGGCCCATTCCTCCATGCAGATCTCCTCTAGAGCAGTGATGTTTTGGGGCTGTCGCTGGGCAACACAGACTTTCAACTCCCTCCAAAGTTTTACTATGGGGTTGAGACCTGGAGACTGGCTAGGCCACTCCAGGAACTTGAAATGCTTCTTACGAAGCCACTCCTTCATTGCCCGGGCGGTGTGTTTGGGATCATTGTCATGCTGAAAGACCCAGCCACGTTTCATCTTCAATGACCTTGCTGATGGAAGGAGGTTTTCACTCAAATCTCATGATACATGGCCCCATTCATTCTTTCCTTTACACGGATCAATCGTCCTGGTCCCTTTGCAGAAAAACAGCCCCAAAGCATGATGTTTCCACCCCCATGCTTCACAGTAGGTATGGTGTTCTTTGGATGCAACTCAGCATTCTTTGTCCTCCAAACACGACGAGTTGAGTTTTTACCAAAAAGTTATATTTTGGTTTCATCTGACCATATGACATTCTCCCAATCCTCTTCTGGATCATCCAAATGCACTCTAGCAAACTTCAGACGGGCCTGGACATGTACTGGCTTAAGCAGGGGGACACGTCTGGCACTGCAGGATTTGAGTCCCTGGCGGCGTAGTGTGTTACTGATGGTAGGCTTTGTTACTTTGGTCCCAGCTCTCTGCAGGTCATTCACTAGGTCCCCCCTTGTGGTTCTGGGATTTTTGCTCACCGTTCTTGTGATCATTTTGACCCCATGGGGTGAGATCTTGCGTGGAGCCCCAGATCGAGGGAGATTATCAGTGGTCTTGTATGTCTTCCATTTCCTAATAATTGCTCCCACAGTTGATTTCTTCAAACCAAGCTGCTTACCTATTGCAGATTCAGTCTTCCCAGCCTGGTGCAGGTCTACAATTTTGTTTCTGGTGTCCTTTGACAGCTCTTTGGTCTTGGCCATAGTGGAGTTTGGAGTGTGACTGTTTGAGGTTGTGGACAGGTGTCTTTTATACTGATAACAAGTTCAAACAGGTGCCATTAATACAGGTAACAAGTGGAGGACAGAGGAGCCTCTTAAAGAAGAAGTTACAGGTCTGTGAGAGCCAGAAATCTTGTTGTTTGTAGGTGACCAAATACTTATTTTCCACCATAATTTGCAAATAAATTCATTAAAAATCCTACAATGTGATTTTCTTGATTTTTTTCTCTCAATTCATCTGTCATAGTTGACTTGTACCTATGACGAAAATTACAGGCCTCTCTCATCTTTTTAAGTGGGAGAACTTGCGCAATTGGTGGCTGACTAAATACTTTTTTTCCCCACTGTACATACATATCCTTTAAAAAAAATATATTTCCCTTTATTACTTTCCAGGTTAATGTTACCTGATACAATTTTTTTGCTGTGTTGTGTGGAATTAGTGAGGTGATGTGGAAAGGTAAAGGCGTTTAATTGCATATTAAGCTTATTAACACATCACTATGTTCTACAACGTGATAAATGTTTTAGTTACATGAACATTACCTTAATATACCAGACACTTGAGTCCTCAGTACAAGTGTGCCATAGTTTCCATTGGCTTTAATACAAATCATAATGGTCTGCTCTCATACCTCCCACATGTATTATTAGTAACACTTTACACAGTGTTTGTATTGGAATATTATATCCTAATGACTACACTCGTTTTCCATAAACCTGGAATCATGAAACATTGAAATTGTGCTTAAAAGTTCTGCCAAGCTCCTAATCACTGCAATGTTATAGAAGAGTTATCAGCAACAAATATGGAGCTTAGAGGAAAGCTTACTTCAATGGCAGTTTACAAGTTGCACCTAATCCTTACCAAAAGCCTTTTTTCACAAACCATCTTTGTAAAGACACAGTGCCCCTCTGTGTGGCCTGGGGAGTAAGAGTTCACAGTACGAGAATAAATGCACTACTACTCAAAGCCTTCCTAAAAATGGTAAGTGCGGGTAGCCAATCAGTTTTGTGATAAAGTTTGTGATATCATTATTCTATGCTCTGTCTGTCTTTTTTTGGGGGGGGGTAGATCAGCTTAATATTGCAGATAGATTGTAACTTCCATCAATGTACAGTGGGTAAAAAAAAGGAATTTAGTCAGCCACCAATTGTGCAAGTTCTCCCACTTAAAAAGATGAGAGAGGCCTGTACTTTTCATCATAGGTACAACGTCAACTATGACAGACAAATTGAGAATTTTTTTTCCAGAAAATCACATTGTAGGATTTTTAATGAATTTATTTGCAAATTATGGTGGAAAATAAGTATTTGGTCACCTACAAACAAGCAAGATTTCTGGCTCTCACAGACCTGTAACTTCTTCTTTAAGAGGCTCCTCTGTCCTCCACTCGTTACCTGTATTAATGGCACCTGTTTGAACTTGTTATCAGTATAAAAGACACCTGTCCACAACCTCAAACAGTCACACTCCAAACTCCACTATGGCCAAGACCAAAGAGCTGTCAAAGGACACCAGAAACAAAATTGTAGACCTGCACCAGGCTGGGAAGACTGAATCTGCAACAGGTAAGCAGCTTGGTTTGAAGAAATAAACTGTGGGAGCAATTATTAGGAAATGGAAGACATACAAGACCACTGAATCTCCCTCGATCTGGGGCTCCACGCAAGATCTCACCCCGTGGGGTCAAAATGATCACAAGAACGGTGAGCAAAAATCCCAGAACCACACGGGGGGACCTAGTGAATGACCTGCAGAGAGCTGGGACCAAAGTAACAAAGCCTACCATCAGTAACACACTACGCCGCCAGGGACTCAAATCCTGCAGTGCCAGACGTGTCCCCCTGCTTAAGCCAGTACATGTCCAGGCCCATCTGAAGTTTGCTAGAGTGCATTTGGATGATCCAGAAGAGGATTGGGAGAATGTCATATGGTCAGATGAAACCAAAATATAACTTTTTGGTAAAAACTCAACTCGTCGTGTTTGGAGGACAAAGAATGCTGAGTTGCATCCAAAGAACACCATACCTACTGTGAAGCATGGGGGTGGAAACATCATGCTTTGGGGCTGTTTTTCTGCAAAGGGACCAGGACGACTGATCCGTGTAAAGGAAAGAATGAATGGGGCCATGTATCGTGAGCAAGGGCATTGAAGATGAAACGTGGCTGGGTCTTTCAGCATGACAATGATCCCAAACACACCGCCCGGGCAACGAAGGAGTGGCTTCGTAAGAAGCATTTTATTATTATTACATTTAATTCATTGACAAGCAATTATTATCCAAGCAAACAATTACCGCGGTCCATCCCATACTCCCCCCAACATCCCCCCCCCCCCCCCCCCACAACAGATGCGGGACAAACACACACGTCTGCCTTTCTTTCTACCTGGGATGTTTCTACAACTTCACATAAAGTCCAATAAATAACTTTCTCAGAGCACTGATCAGAAAAAAACATGCGTAGTAAAAAAGTACAATAAAGGATTTCTCTAGCTACATTCAATAATATTTTTGAACATTCCTATGCACCTACATCACCATGAGCCACATTCAAACTGTATCAATATGATATAGCATCATCGACTTTCAGCCAACAGAAAACTCTTCCCAACTTACCTATTTCAAGGATAGAATCATGTGATAACCTGCCAGGTCTGGTTGGATTCTGATCTTCTGTATAGCCACTTAATTCAGCCAATCAGAGTTCAGTGACTTTTAATGCTTCTGTCACCTCTGACTCTCACAGGATCAATGAGGCTCTTCCTGAGTGCCCCAACATCTTCTTGTAGCATTGTCATAGATCTCTGTCTAATGTATCTTCTCACACTATTGTTGAGCTGAGAGGAAGTCCATAGCACATCAAGTCCTACACTTTTAGGGACTACGAATGATCTTACGTCAATTTCTTCACTGTAAACCATGTCCCATTGACTATCCCCAAATTCTTCCCTCATGTATTTCTCTCTGAATCAATCTCTCTCTGAATCTCTAGCTAGATCCCCAAAACTGTCAGGGTGCATCTCCATGTCTCCTAGTACGTTTCTCACAAGATCTCTCCAGTGTCCAGTCTCTCAGTATCTCTCAGTCAATGTACTACTGCCTTGGGCCCTTCTCCCTCACCACTACTCCATCACTGCACTGAAGTCCCCTAGCGGTACTAATCCTCTTTAGGAGGAAGAACCTTCCCAAGTTTACTTCAGCTGTGACGTCACAGCCCCAAGGATTAGGGGCTATACTGCTCTTGGATGAAAACCTGACTAGGGGAAAGTGTGTTTGCGTAAAAAAAAGAGCAATAAAAA